GCGCCTTGCTGAGCCCCTGCCGCTCCAGCGCAGATCTGCCCCGTGGCTCTGCAGAGCCCCAGGTCTGTGCGGGAGCGCAGCTGCCTGCCTCCCTCCCGGCGGCGCCCGGGATGGGGCCCCGGTTCCTCGCTGAGCGCCCGTTCTGTCCTCTCTTTCCATTCCAGTGTTCCCTCCATCAACCTGACCAGCTGCAAGTACGAGAGCGGTGAGTCCGAGATGCTGCAGGGTGGCCTGTCGGATCAGCCCGCCGATGGCAAGCCCTCTGGGTGCCCGCTCAGCCGGGAGCAGCGCTGGTACCGAATTTCCACTGCGCAGTTCCTTTTGGCTTACGTATTTATCAGTTACAAGCCACTTGGGCCCCTGTGAAAAGAGTTTTTCACACTTTGGACTGAGGTGCCCTCTGGTTCAAAGAGACACGAAATGCGCAAGCCCTCGCCCCCACACGCCTGCGTTTGCCATGGACCTGCCAAAATCGGTGAGAAGGGCCCAGCGAGGGGCAGTCACAGTGCAAGACTGGTACCCGTGCCTGGGGAAGTGACGTGAGAGCTCTCGGCCATTTAACGTCTTTACATTAAAAGAAGAGGCAGGACCGGTACCCGGAACCTCTCCCTTTGCCGTCCGTCTCCAGTGACGTGCAGCAGGGAGCTGGCCCGCTCTCCCGTCTTGCTCTTCTTTGCTGCCACGAGCTGTATCTTAACAGATTCCTATCATTTGATGGGTGTTAGTAGCCAAATTGCTAACGACTGTTTTAGCAGTGCAACCACGTTTGTGTTGTTGAAGGTCACAGCCTGGCCAGCAGCGTGAGGAGCGCAGTTTTTACGTGGAGGGGCGGGCGCTGTTTCGCCTAGGGCTGTGCTCGGGCGGTTTGGTGAGGGGAGGCGGACGGGACCCGCCGCGGGAGGTGGCGCGGCAGCGCAGGCGCCACAGCCACCAGAACCGTTTTGCAAGGGGTTCCTAGCGTGCGTTGACCTTCGTCGCCTCCCCCCAGCCCTGCGAGAGGCCAAATTGAGAACTGGCGCTGACACAAACCATCCCAGCAGCGACCTTCTGCTCCACAGCTTGTGTGTCCTGCTGCCAAATAGCTTTTGATTTCGAAGATGAAACTCATACCTTCAGAAGACTTGCATCTGCCCGCGTGGTGTCAGACGCAGGGCGGGTTCAAGCCTGCTGTAGCTCAGGAGGTGCTCTGGGACCCCGACTGTGTGGAGTTACAGGGCTGGCAGCTCCCGTTGCACCTGCAGCCAGGGGCTGGGTGGGTTTAGCCGGGTAAAGCTCGCATTTCTGACGCCTCCTGAGGGGTCCCGCCAATACCTGGCATCTCTGAGAGTGGAACTGCAGCCTGGAGAGGTTCGTTCCACGCTCCGTCCCTGGTGACTTTGGGGATTTAACAGTCCCTGGTACTTATATCCTCTGCCCGGCCCCTTGTCATCTGCTTGCTTTGGTACAGTGCGGCGGGCAGCACAGTGCTGCGGGCTGAAAGAAGCGGGGGAAAACGAGGAGTGGACAGTGTACTGGACGGACTACTCGGTCTCTCTGGAGCGCGTCATGGAAATGAAGCGGTTTCAGGTAAATCCCCGCAGGTAAAGGCTGCCCAGCCGGAATTGCTGAGGAGGGAGGGTGAGACGGGGGCTGTTGGCGGAACGACGTGTTGCAGAATGAAACAGAAGTAGCACCCGTGCCCCCTCCTCTGCGTCGGTTCCCGAGGGCGCAGGTTCGCGGGCCTTTACTTCTGTTGCGTCTCTGGTACGGTGCCATCAGCAACACTTTGGCAGTCAGCAGCATGAACTGGAAGGCTGCCAGCCCCTTTAATGCAGCGTGAAATAAATGGTTCTTGATGACAAACGGCTCCCTTCCTGAAGCTGTGATATTCTAGGGAGGGAGAGCTTCAGGGCTGAGATGGAACAAGCAGATAAATCACACTGGTGAAGTGCAGATAAAGCAGTTGTGAGCGTAATCTTGTCCCTCAGCAGACGTTCAAGGCAACCGCAGGCCCAGCTTCCTGTTCTGCGTGCCCGTTTCTCCGCACGCGGGCTTTCCTCGGGTCTCCAGGAGGATCCCTGCTGGTCCTTCACTGATTCTGTTTTTCGTCTGCACCTCTTTCAGAAAATCAACCATTTCCCAGGCATGATAGAGATCTGCCGTAAGGACTTGTTGGCTCGCAACCTTAACCGCATGCTCAGGCTCTTCCCCAAGGAGTACAATATATTTCCCCGCACTTGGTGCCTGCCAGCTGAGTGAGTGACACGCATTAATGCAGCTGAGAACAGGGGTATGGCATTAGGAAGCGGGAGCCTCTGTGCTTGGCAGCCAGGGCTGGGATGGGGGGGCCTCTCCGAGAGCTCATGCCTTGGTCTGGGGCTGTGTAACCTTCCCTGGAACTGGACGGGGTGTCGAGAGACGTTTCTCGTTTCACACATCTTTAATTCCTGTTAGGCTGAATTAGCCCGTGGAACGGCGTCCTCTGCGATGTGCGCCTCGCTGCCGGGCAGACTGCGTGCCCAAGGGCTAAATCCGGGGAGAGGGACCCACCCGGAAAGCCAAAGGGCAGCGGGCGAGTGGGAAGCATAAATCTGTGTTTCGGTGGAAGGTCTCTCTGCAGCTCAGGGTGACAGGAGAGGCCACTGCAGAGCAGCGTGGCAGCCCCTTTCCCCACCGGCTGGGGCGTGCCCATCGCTCGCCCGGGAAGGGCACGGGATGGGGGCACGAGGCGGTCCCACCCCACCGGCTGCGATGGCTGTCTC